TTTCAGGGCAGGAGAGAGTGGGATATTCAATGTACTCAATAAAATCATTCAATGTACTCAATGAACAAAACAAAACGCTGCAAACAAAGAATACCTTATCTGACAATTCTATCCTTCAGACAATGAAAAGAGAGGAATTTTACCAGACAAACAAAAGTTGAGAGAGTTCATTAACTAGACCTTCTTTATGAAGAAGGCTAAAATAATTTCTTCAATACAAATGATAAAATGCTAGCTGATGTCATAAAACACATGAAAGTACAAAGTATAAATAGACTCCTTAAGTACATAGTAAAATTTAGAATACTCTAACACTGTAATTAGTGGTTGGCAAATCACTTAAGTCTTTAGCATACAGGATAAAAGATAAACCTATTAAAAAAACAATAACTACAATAATTGTTAAGAATTATGCGGTAAAGGAACATGTAAATTGTAACATCAATAACAAGAATGTGTGAACAAGAGCAAAAATGTAAAATATTTTTATGTGATCAAAATTAAGTTGTTATCTTTTTAAAATAGTCTATTATAAATATGGTTTTTGTAAGCTTTATGGTAACCACAAAGCAACAACCTGTAATAGATAAATAACAGATAAAAAGCAAGCAACCTAAGTATAGCACAAGATAATTACCTAGTCAAAAAGAAGACAGCAAAAGAGGAAGAAAGGAACAAAGTCAGGTAGATACCTCCAGCTTTATTCTTTTTGCTTATGTTTTTTTTGGCTATGTGGGCTCTCTTTGGTTCCATATGAAGTTTAAGGATTTTTTTTTTCCAGTTCTGTAGAGAGAGTCATAGGTAGCTTGATGGGGATAGCATTGAAATATAAATTACCTGGGGCAGTATGGACATTTTCACAATATTGATTCTTCCTAACCATGAAGATGGAATGTTTTTTCATCTATTTGTGTCCTCTCTATATTCTTGAGCAGTGGTTCATAGTTCTACTTGAAGAGGTCCTTTACATTCTTTGTTAGTTGCATTCCTAGGTATTTTATTCTCTTGTAGCAATTTAAATGGAGTTCGCTCTTGGTTCGACTCTCTGTTTCTCTGTTATTGATGTATAAGAATTCTTGTGATTTTTGCACATTTTATTATATCCTGAGACTTTGCTAAAGTGCTCATCAGTTTAAGAAAATTTTGGGCTCAGATGATGGGTTCTTCTAAATACACAATCATGTCATCTGCAAATAGAGACAATTGACTTCCTCCTTTCCTAATCCAATACCTTTATTTCGTTTTCTTGCCTGATTGCTCTGGCTAGAACATCCAATAATGTATTGAATAGGAGTGGTAACAGAGGGCACCCTTTTCTAGTGCCAGATTTCAAAGGAATGCTTCCAGTTTTTGCCCATTCAGTATGATATTGGCTGTGGGCTTGTCATAAATAGCTTTTATTATTTTGAGATATGTTCCATTGTGACCTAGTTATTGAGAGTTTTTAGCATAAAGGGCTGTTGCATTTTGTCAAAGGCCTTCTCTGCATCTATTGAGATAATCTTGTGTTTTTTGTATTTGATTTTGTTTATGTGGTGGATTACATTTGTAGACTTGAGTATGTTGAACTAGTTTTGCATCCTGGGATGAAGCCTACTTGATTGTGATGAATAAGCTTTTTGATGTGCTGTTGCAATTGGTTTGCAATATTTTACTGAAGATTTTTTCATCTACGTTCGTCATGGATATTAGCCTGAAGTTTTCTTTTCTTGTTGAGTCTGCCGGGTTTTGGTATCAGGATGATGTTGGTCTCATAAAATGATTTGGAAGGATTCCCTCTTTTTGTATTGTTTGGAATAGTTTCAGGAGGAGTGGCACCAGCTGGTAGAATTCAGCTGTGAACCATCTGGACCTGGCCTTTTTTTGGTTAGTGGGCTATTAAAAATTGCTGCTGCTCAACTTCAGACTTGTTATTGGTCTATTCAGGTTTTCAGCTTCTTCCTGGTTTAGGCTTGGGTGGGCTTAAGTGCCCAGAAATTTACATTTCTTTCAGGTTTATTGGTTTATGTGCATAGAGTTGTTTGTAGTAATCTCTGATGGTAGTTTGCATTTCTGTGGAATTGGTGGTGATATCTCCTTTATCATTTTATTGCATCTATTTGATTCTTCTGTCTTTTCTTTTTATTTATCTGGCTAGCAGTCTGTCTATTTTTGTTGATCTTTTCAAAAAAAAAAAAGCTCCTCGATGAATTTGTCTTTGGGTGATGTTGCAAGACTAGATTTTCTGCCCTGGATAAAGTAATAAAATGGATTAGAAAATTTCACACCCAGTTTTACTTGTGCAAGCTCTTATTTTTAAAATATTTAATTGGCAAATACAGACTGTATATATATATATATCTATATATATATCTGTATTTTGATGTGTGTATATATATATATCACAATTTAATTAGCATATCTATTACCACTGATGCTATAAGACATTGATGAAATAAATTTTAAAAGACACAGATAAATTGAAAGTATTCCATATTCGTGTATTAGAAAAATTAATATTGTTAAAATGTCCATATTCCTCAAAATGATCTACAGAATTGATGCAATGCATATCAAAATTTCAATGGCATTTTTCACATAAATAGAAAAAAATTCTAAAATTGATATGAAACCACTAAATATCTTGAATAATCAAAGCAATATCAAGAAAGAACAAAGCTTAAGCATTGCTTCCTGGTTTCAAACTATATTGCAAAACTGTAGAAATCAAAACCTATGGTACTGGTATAAAAACCAGTTCATCTTAGTCTGTCTTCTCCCTTTAATGATGGGTGAGTTATCACAGCTGTGGAAATCATATCCTGTTCTTACAGTTGGAAAGCCCATTTGTGAAAGATAAGACATTTGTAATTGCAAATAAGAAAGATCCTTATATAATTTGGATTAAAAACGTAATGATGTTTATTTGAATATATGAACACCAAGAATTTAGGAGTCAGTAGTCTTTGTATACATTTCAGTCAGAGCTCAAGTGCCATTTCTCTAGGATTTCCTTTTCTGTGCTTTTTCCTTTGTATGTTTTTTCCCCCTCTATACAGGTTTCCTTTTATAACTCAACATAGTTGCTATCAGCAACTGCGGTACCAATTCTTTATCAGTTCTAGAAGGGGAAACATAGGATACTTTCTAAATGTATTTTTTAAAAATCCTAAGTATCTCTCTTTTTGGACAAAACAGAAAATTTCCAAGGCCAGGGCCAGGGGCTAGTTACTAAAGCAAAAATTATTGCACATCATTGAATCATTAATACAGGAAAGAGGATACACTACGCTTGTTGAATTTTACAAGTTATAAACAGCTCAGGATTTGGGGTGTGATTATTATCAAATGCCCTGTCAGGAGGATAAAGGGGTTGGATTTTCACAGAGGAACACACCTGGATACTATGTAAATAAAGCATAAATGAAGCAATGAAGCCAGATATGTACCCAGAGAATATCACTGTGCACACATCCAGGCAGATAACTGGAATTGGGAAAGACTTGACATCATAATCCATTAAGATTAAGAAGCATAAAAACTGTACAAGTCTTCTTTGTTACTTAGTATTTCCCAAACACCACATTACTGCCATAAGATAATCCAACTATAAAGATGTACAGAAAGTGAAGACATCCCAAATTTGGCAGTCCTTAAATTAGAAATCAACCACTTTCTTATTGTCAGTTTACTGTTGACACCTGACAGCTAAGAAGTATCACTCTTTCAATTTTCCTTATGTCTTTGGTTGTTCCTTTTCAGTTACTTTTTTGACAATTTACATTGTGCAGGGTCTGCTACAGTTTTCTTTTGTTTAAATGGTAGTATAAAAAGCCATGGTCATTTCAACACTCTCTCTGAAAGTAACCAGCCTCATTGATACCAAAAGTTTAGGTAACATGATTTTTAAGCCTAAGGCTGGTGATATTTCATATTTTAGACAAGCTGATGGGTCATCTGATGAAGGTAAAATCAAAGTCCTCCCCCTCCTCAGAGAAAAAGGAATTAAGTGAATGCCAGAAAAATTGTAAATGTTGCTTATTAAATATTTTGTAAACTCTTCTTTCTAAATACAGGTTCCTAGTGAACATTACTGCTCTCTCAAGGATCTGTTCAACATTATGATAATTAATTTACCTAAAACTCCAGTAAGACCACTTGGCAACCATATTCTAGGTCTACAAACCAAGTGACTGCTTAGTAACTCCTTAACAATTTAGGGACTTTATAATTAGTTCTTTCCTGACAGACATTTTCCCAGAAACAAGTGCTTACATTTTCTCTCTCTCTCTCTCTCTCTCTCTCTCTCTCTCTCTCTCTTCTCTCTCTCTCTCAATCTCTCAAGAAACACCATTGCAAACAATCATTATAAAATGGAAATTAAAGATGTAGGCATCTAACACACAGGATATATTAATAAATTGTGATACATTTATTGAACTGAATATGGTTGAACTATTATAAATGACACTGTAGACATTTTTATATTTGTTAAATTACAAAAGGCAGATATGGGGGAAGAAGAGGTGGAGACAATAAATGAACTCCTTTTACATCCTCTTATACAATTTCCTGCTGGAATGGTTTTGCCAGGGTAGATGAGAAAGATCTTTTATTAACAGCACCTGATGTGGGGAGGAGCAGAAATCAGAGCCAAGCAAGTGAGCAGAGCAACCCCAGGACACTGAGAAGAGATGCAGGTGAGTGGGCTCAGAGAGATTTCGGGCATGGGAGATGCTCTTCCAGGCAGCAGGTGGGACATAAGGTATCCTCCCATAGTCAAAACAGACTTTCCTTCAGGTAAAGGTGGAGTTTGCTGTTCTCTGGGTGCTCCCAGGTGCCCAGTTCCCATGTCCCTGAGAGGCAGAGGGAGAAACAAGAGATCTTCTAGGAAAGACTGCAAGAGGTTACATGGGAATAATGTGGACATTTGAGGAGAGATTCACAGAAGAAGAAAGCAGTAGATAAGAGTAGACTGAGGATTCCTCCTCTGGACCGCCCATCTTATCTCTTGATTTTACCCCTTGTCCCAAACTAATGAAAATGACCAATACATTCCAATGTAGAATATGATGGTGGCAGAGGAGGATGATAAAAGTAATAATCATTCTTCCAAATGAATCCAGCTCCAGTTATTCTCTGAAAATCTGACTTTAGTAAAAAAAAAAATTATAGCTGTAAGCTTGTATCTCATTATTTGTATTTAGAAATCTAATATAGTAGGTGTTCACCACAAACCCTCAACCAACTCTGTAACAAACATATAAACATCTATATATAAATGGCAAAATATCATGCTAAGATAAAAAATTCTTTAAAAGTTAACTCCTTGATTGGTAGATGATTAATATGTTTCCTAAAAACCTGTTTTTTTGTATGAAATGTCATGGTCCACTGAGGCTCTTTTTGCACCAGTAACATGTATGACCAATAGCCGGGACCCCTTTATTGACCCTCAGTATCCTTTTCAAAGTACACATGATTCTGTTTCTTCATTCATTGTGCTTGAAATGTTACTAGAGATTTAGCCCACTTATAATTGCATTAAAATATTTACACTGTTCTTATATAAACTTTGGCAGAAAAAATCTTGCACCAAGGAACATAAACATTGTGTAGAGTTGAGGTATTTAAAAACCAAAAGGTATTCTCTCAAGAAAATGTTAGTCAGATATGCTGCCTGTAGAATGTGCATTAATGTCTTAGGTGCTACTTGGAATTTATCATAGGGATGAGAAAGTTTTCCCAGTTGTATAATGCTTTGGTGCATTCCTTCTTCAATTCCATCATTTTAAAGATTTTCAAAAGCTTATCATCTCTTTGCTGCCAATTTCCCACAGATCTTTCTTCAGACAATTAAAATCCTACAAATCATCTTTTTCTAAAGTCCTAGTCTACCTTAAGTGTAAAGAGCCCTCTTGTTTTTATGGAGAGAGTAAGTAATGTTCAGAGAAGAGAGACAATTATTTATGTGTCCTCTCATGTTTCTTCATGTCTTGCAAGCAGAGGCACTTACTGCCATTTGTTTTAGACTATCTTTCAAGAATGTTCGTGTAGTAAAAAATCTTTAAAATAGAGACAGCATCTTCCTCCGGAGCAAAGAGTAGGTTTGCCTATAGTTTGAAAGTTTCCATTCATAGTAAAACAGACATATTACTCCCAGGTATAATAAAATAGTCCCCCTCTGAAGCAAAGGGTAGGCTTGCCTTTTGCCCATTATAAGTGATAAGTGATTCAGATTTCCTAAGCTCTTAAATGTAATTGCAGGGGACATTCACCCCTGTAACATAACCAGTTAATGTGAAGGCACTGTCTGCCCATCGATGTCACCTCAATGAAACTTGGAGTAAGGGAACCTACAGCGGGTGTGTTTCTGCTTGTGCTGCTTATGGTACCATGAGTAATACAAAGTCCTTTGTCTTTTGCCAGTATCAATCAAAACTGTGGAAGTTTACCTTGCCTTGCAAGTAGGGTAAAATCTCAGAGCCTTATAATTCTTGACATGAAGTTAAATTATTTTCATTTGCAGCACATTAGAAGAAAAGAATATTAACTGAAAAGAATTGAGCTGCATCTCTTTATTTCTTTTTTTTTTAAAAACTTTTTATTGCATTTTAGGTTTGTGAGTATATGTGCAGAACATGCAAGACAGTTGCATGAGGTACACATATGTCAGTGTGTTTGCCTCCTTTCTCCCTTCACCCACATTTGGCATTTCTCCCCAGGCTATCCCTCTGCACCTCCCCCTCCCGCTGGCCCTCCCCTTTTCCCCCCAATAGACCCCAGTGTTTAGTACTCCCCTCCTTGTGTCCATGTGTGCTCATTTTTCATCACCCCGCCTATAAGTGAGAATATGCGGTGTTTCATTTTCTGTTCTTGTGTCAGTTTGCTGAGAATGATGTTCTCCAGATTCATCCATGTCCCTACAAACGACACAACTCATCATTTCTGATTGCTGCATAATAGTCCATAGTGTATATGTGCCACATTTTCCCAATCCAGTCTATCATCGATGGGCATTTTGGTTGATTCCAGGTCTTGTTATTGTAAACAGTGCTACAATGAACATTCGTGTGCATGTGTCCTTATAGTAGGACGATTATAGTCCTTTGGATATATACCCAGTAATGGGATTGCTGGGTCAAATGGAATTTCTATTTCTAAGGCCTTGAGGAATCGCCACACTGTCTTCCACAATGGTTGGACTAATTTACACTCCCACCAAACAGTGTAAAAGTGTTCCTTTTTCTCCACATCCTCTCCAGCATCTGTTGTCTCCAGATATTTTAATGATCGCCATTCTAACTGGCGTGAGATGGTATCTCAATGTGGTTTTGATTGCATCTCTCTGATGACCAGTGACGATGAGCATTTTTTCATATGATTGTTGGCCTCATATATGTCTTCTTTCGTAAAGTGTCTGTTCATATCCTTTGCCCACTTTTGAATGAGCTTGTTTGTTTTTTTCCTGTAAATCTATTTGAGTTCTTTGTAAATTCTGGATATCAGCCCTTTGTCAGATGGGTAAACTGCAAAAATTTTTTCCCATTCTGTTGGTTGCCGATTCACTCTAGTGACTGTTTCTTTTGCCATGCAGAAGCTGTGGAGTTTGATTAGGTCCCATTTGTCTATTTTGGCCTTTGTTGCCAATGCTTTTGGTGTTTTGTTCATGAAGTCCTTGCCTACTCCTATGTCTTGGATGGTTTTGCCTAGATTTTCCTCTAGGGTGTTTATGGTGCCAGGTCTATGTTTAAGTCTTTAATCCATCTGAGTTAATTTTAGTGTAAGGTGTCAGGAAGGGGTCCACTTTCTGCTTTCTGCACATGGCTAGCCAGTTTTCCCCAACACCATTTGTTGAACAGGGAATCCTTTCCCCATTGCTTGTTTTTGTCAGGTTTATCAAAAATTGTATAATTGTAGATATGTTGTGTTGCCTCCGATGCCTCTGTTCTGTTTCATTGGTCTATATCTCTGTTTTGGTACCAGTACCATGCTGTTTTGATTACTGTAGCCTTGTAGTATAGTTTGAAATCCGGTAGTGTGATGCCCCCCGCTGTGTTCTTTTTGCTTAGAATTGACGTGGCTATGCGGGCTCTCTTTTGGTTCCATATGAAGTTTATGGTGGTTTTTTCCAGTTCTGTGAAGAAAGTCAATGGTAGCTTGATGGGGATAGCATTGATTCTGTAAATTACTTGGGGCAGTATAGCCATTTTTACGATATTAATTCTTCCTAACCATGAACATGGAATGTTTCTCCATCTGTTTGTGTCCTCTCTGATTTCGTTGAGCAGTGGTTTGTAGTTTTCCTTGAAGAGATCCCTTACGTTCCTTGTGAGTTGTATTCCAAGGTATTTTATTCTTTTTGTAGCAATTGTGAATGGCAGTTCTTTCTTGATTTGGCTTTCTTTAAGTCTGTTATTGGTGTAGAGGAAGGCTTGTGATTTTTCCACATTGATTTTATATCCTGAGACTTTGCTGAAGTTGCTTATCATTTTCAGGAGTTTTTGGGCTGAGGCAATGGGGTCTTCTATGTATACTATCATGTCGTCTGCAAATAGAGACAATTTGGCTTCCACCTTTCCTATTTGAATACCCTTTATTTCTTTTTCTTGCCTGATTGCTCTGGCTAGAACTTCCAGTACTATATTGAATAGGAGTGGTGAAAGAGGGCATCCTTGTCTAGTGCCGGATTTCAAAGGGAATGCTTCCAGTTTTTGCCCATTAAGTATGATATTGGCTATTGGTTTGTCATAAATCTCGGAAGCATCTCTTTATTTCTGTTGCTGTTTCCATTTCATTTTCCTTCTAGAAAAAGAAATGCAGATTTTTTTTGTGGGTTTTCTTACTGTTGTTTTTGTTCGTTTTAACCTACATCTGCCAGCCATGTTATCCTGGTCCGTTCTTCTGGTCACCCACCTGCTCCATGCTTAGCCTTGTCTGACAATGGCTCTCCTTTCCTTTTCCTTCATAGCATCTGGAAGTGCTATGAACTTCACCCTAACACTGTATCTAGTCCTGCATAGTACTAAGGATAGTCCCATTGTTCTTCCCTAAGAAACAGCTCAGCTTTCTAAGAATGTCTTCCCAAAGGAAACCTTAATGTTAAACGAATGTCTTTCCAACTACTTCCAAACATCAAATATCGTGAAGTTCACAAGGGTCACAGATTAGGGAATCTTGTAAGAAAATAAGCGTGGAAGAAAATAAACCAGAGTACTACTAAAATTTGGGATTATACAGTCAATGTTTTTATTAGCCTATCCTCAACAATACTTGGGAAATAAATTTTAGGATTTTCCTTTTTTTAAAGAGTTATATATCTAAAACCATCTTCATAACAACTTTTAAAAGGCTGTCCATTAAACAGTTGGAATCTCTGAACATTTTGACTATAAGGTGCCACAGAATATAGTTATAGTTTGTTTAACAATGGGGATATGTTCTGAAAAATGCATCCTTAGGTGATTTTGTTTTCATACGAATATCAAAGACTGTACTTACACAAACCTAAATGATATAGCCTACCTAACACTGGAGGAAAATCGAACAAACATCAGTAGCGTAAGACTATTTGAAAATGTTCTTGGCTTAAGAAGAGTCTCAAGGGCCATTCTGACTGGATCAGGATGGTGAAATGTTTTATGGGGCTTTAGCAAGGGTACTTCAGCCACTATCAAGAATAGAGGGACTGTTCTTCAGGACTGGCAGCCATAAATTGAGTAATTTGAATTTACTCAAAAGATGTGAAGATAAATTGTTAGGGACTGAAGTATTATACATATGGGGAGTAGTTGGGTGAGAATGAGATTAGCTGAAAGGTCATGAACATGAAAGTCCAGAGGAAATGTCTTAGGCATCAAGTGTTTTGGTTCTTTCATGTGGGAAATAGAGTAATTCTTCTCCCCATACAAGTCTGAGGGAGGTTCATCTCAGGAGAGATTGAATTATTTGCCATGGTGTGCTGTGCAGTGCAGAATTATGGCCCCCATCTTGATCTTGTATAATGTGTGCCCTATGAATGTGAGCAGAACCCGTAAATAGAAGGAGATCAAAAAACCACAACTATGTTGTATTATATGGCAAAAGGGATTCTTGAAGATACAATGATGGTCACTAATTCATTGACTTTGTCTCAACAAGAAAGGAGGTTTTGGGAGATTCCTGGAGAGGCCCAGTCTAATCACATGAGCCATTTGAAAGCAGAGAATTTTCTCTGACTGGCAGCATAAGGGGAAGTCAAGAAATTCAAAGGCTGAAAAAAATGCATGATCCCCTTGCTAGCTTAGAAGATGGAGGGGCTCTTGTGCCAAGAAATCTAGCTAAGACTGGCACCTAAGCTGACAGCCAGCAAGGAAATGGGGACTTTACTGCTACAACTCTACAACTACAAGGAACTGCATTCAGTCAACCTCAATGGAAGTGGAAATTTGTCACACAGCCAAGTTAAACTAAGAAACTGAGTTTACAGAGAAAGACCATATATGGGGGTTAGTCTGGAATCCTCTTGTGAGTTATAATTACCTTCTCCAAAGATCAAAGACTTGGTACCACTAAAATTTTAATGAGCAGATGTTAACCTATTTTCTGGTATATTCTAAGGATATTTTAGTCTATGCTAAGGAGACACTGTGAGGGAGAATTCTTAGGTCTGACCCTGTAGTGTTCTTTAATTAGCTAAATAGAGAAGATGCCAATATTGAAAATAAGCAATAGGAAATTCTACTGGATGGTAGGATCAGAAGGCAAGGCAGCAAATCCAATAAGGGAGATTCTCAGAAAGAACCTAGAGCTCCTTTTGCAAAGATAGAGAGTGATCTATCTTTTAAGTGCGTTCATAGAGGAGGAAAAGTATGGGCTTTTCAGCTACTTGTGGGACAGTCAAAACTGAAATGCAGGAATGGTTTGAGAAGTACAGGGAAGTTATATCAGGGTGATGCAGGCAGTGATCTTGCCAGGAAATGAACAGTACAGAAGGACTGACCACACATGGACTGACAGAACCTGAAAGTGGAGGGTGCTCAGAGACAAACAAACAAACAAAAACAAAACAGAGTATTAGAATAAGAAGAAAGGATAAAGTAAAGAAGAATTGAGTTTTAGCTCCACTTTCTTTCCTTGCTGGATCTTCAAGCCTACAAAATAGGACATCTGGTTTCTGCCAAGCAAGGGCAAGATCTGCCTTGAACTGGGAAAGCTTTCCAGTTTGGAGGAAGGGACCTTATCTGTGGCCTTTCCCAGGATATAGCAGGAAGAGCTCCTCTTTATGCAAGAATCTCCTGCTGTCAATGCCCTCTGTAGGAACGCTGTCCCTCACTCCTTGCCCCACCCTTGCTTAAACACTGTGGCTCTTCTTTCAGACCCTGTTATAAATCTCTACCACTATCTAGCCTGAAAAGTTACCTTAGATTCAGCCCACAGGTAGGTGGGCATTCAGAAGGAGAACACCTTTACAGGAGAAGGACAAAGGCTGGAATCTAAAATCTTGGGGAAGATACAGCATATCTGCCCAAGAGATGTCAGCAGTAATGAAGCCTCAGTGGGAGCCAAAGTTACTTTGAGTTACTGAGTCTGAATAGGTGCCAGATTCTCAAGAGAAATATTTGGGAGGACCTTCCTGCTGTCAGGAATTCAGAAGAGAATCTAAGGAAGGTAATAGGTGCTCTGCTCTCATTCTCTCAAACCCTCTTCCTTGTATTCTCCTATGAAGATTTCTGACTTTCTCCTTAAGCAAGAGACTCACTGCTGCTCAGCATGGCTCAGACCAATACATTCTTCATGCTGATCTCCTGCCTGATGTTCCTGTCTCTGAGCCAAGGTGAGATTTTCCCTCACACCTCTCACACCAGCCCTGAAGTCTTCCCTCCATCCTCATGCATTTGGGTTCACTTGAAAAATAGCAGAGTCAACATCAGGGGTTGTTTTGTGTTGTTCAGTGATATTTATTGCTGATTTCATCCCATTCAAAAACATCTTCACCTCATAAGGTAATTAGAAATGAAACTTGGTATGACCCTTTATCAGTGACTGTGGCAATTGGCATTGGTTTATCATATCAACTCTATTAATAATCAGGGGTTTGGGGATGCCTGTATGTAGACAGTCATTAGTGGAATGGGGAATTGAGGGGAGCTTTGTGAGTAGAGAAACCAGACAGGCTTGAGAAAGACAGAAGCCTGAGTCCTTCAAGGCAGAAAAGGCCTGAGCCCCAGAAGTAAAAGGGACAATGGGAACACATTTCATTAGCCTATTTATTGTGTGCTTTTGTCTGGAGCAAAGACATATTGAGAGACTATAAGTAAGATGCAGGAGAATGGAAGTGACCAATCACTTCATGACGTACAGCAACCATCTATTCCTATAAAGAATCCTCAGAATCTCCTACATCACCTTTTAGCCTTTTGTCTTTCCCTAGAGTCTTTCTTAATTGTCTCTTTTCCCAGGATAGGATGGCCAGACAGAGTTGCCCAAGTCCCGGGTCAGCTGCCCAGAAGGCAACAATGCCTATGGCTCCTACTGCTACTACTTTAATGAAGACCTTGAGACCTGGGTTGATGCAGATGTGGGTGAGGAGAGCAGTGTGGGAAGGGAGGCTCATGAAGGCAGAGGCAGCTGCCTCTCTCCAGTGTGTTCAGTGGCTGATATAAGATGAGACTAATCATTTCCCTATCCAATCATCAGCCCAAACTTTCCAGTATACTTAATCCATCATTCAGCACAGAGATGCTGATGGTCAGTGAAAGCATCATCAGGGACATTTCTGTGCGGTCCTTTTACTATCACATCCATTGGGAGGGCTCACTATGTCCCCCACACTTTCCTCCTTCACTGAATGCTCCATTTTACTCTCCAACAGCTCTACTGCCAGAATACGAATTCGGGTAACCTGGTGTCTGCGCTCACTGAGGCTGAGGGTGCCTTCGTGGCTTCGCTGATTAAAGAGGGTGGCACCAAGGATTGCAATGTCTGGATTGGCTTCCATGACTCCCACTGGGCCAGTCTGCTGCATCTTCTACCTCCTTATTATCAGGTTTCAGAGGGAAGAAGGAGGTGTGATGTCTGGCACCGCAAACACCAGTTTTTACCATACTATGATAAAAGCAACCTCTCTATAAATCCTATAATGTACAGGATATTAAGTTTCTCTATAGGTCCTTAGAGATAAGCTTAAAACTGAATATCCTCTGTGTTTCAGACATTCACAGTAAACTCATTTTGTCTACTTCTAGGGTAGCATCTTTATATATCTGTTATGCACCTCTTATCTATTGTGTTATCATCTTGTAAACCATATAGAGAAAGGTAATAGAGGAGGAGAATGTGCTGCTTGTATTTGGGAAACTCAAGGTATACTAAATAATATATCAACAACTAATGGCCATCCAATGCTATGCTGGATATGAACTTTCGGGGCCTCAGGAAAGAAAAATCAGGAACCAGTTTCAATAATGATGTTTTATGGTTCTCTGTGTCATATTTAGAACACTTACTGTTTGGCAGGACACAGAGAGGTAGGTGAAGATTCCAGGAAAGGAGAAGCTTAGAGAAAATGTGGAGGAAATGTGTGACACTCAGAGATAAAGCAAGGTTTATCCTTGCCTTATGTCTTGACCGGTTTCTGAATCAAGAAACACAAGTCAAACACAAATCAGGTGTTTCTTTCTCTTTCTGAGTCTCGTCCGCCCCTGCCCTGGCCCTTCTCCATCTAGAACCACCACTGGCACTGGAGCAGTGGGTCCCTGGTCTCCTACAAATCCTGGGACACTGGAGCCCCAAGCTGTGCCAGTATTGCCTGTTGTGCAAGCCTGACTTCAAGCTCAGGTGAGAGGTACAGCAACCTCACACTTACTGCCATCCTATCCTATTTGTCTCAGGATTGACCTGGGGACTGCAATAGAGGAAAGGTGAGCTCCGCATTCAGGAAATAGAGGAGCGTTTCCTCTTGACTTTTCCTGAGTTCTGCAGCCTAGAGGGTAACACATTCTGATCCCCTCAGTTTGAATCTTCTCATTGGCTTATAGGATTCAATAAATGGAAGAATGATTCTTGTAAGGAGACGTTCTCCTTTGTTTGCAAGTTCAAAAACTAGAGGTGGCTGCAAAGTGGATGTCTAGAGTATGTCTACTAATTACTATGGAGTAAAAGAATTAAACTGGACCATCTCATCTCTCTCCAAATCAATCCAGACCATCTCTTCTCTTCTGAATTTGCATCACTGACCTGTAGTATCTTTACCTACCCCAGTTGCGGGGGTCCTAAAGAATAAAAATAAACATGTTTCCCCCATGTCTGTGTCTGCTATTTCCCCACCTAATGCCTGGGGTGGTGTTGCCTACTTGTTAGATGCCCGTGGACCATTGTGTGAGTACAGGGATGCTCTGAAGATGCGAGAGGGTCTACAATGCTTGTTAGTAGCAAGTCTTATGGCTCACTGTTACGGGTTGTGGGAATGGCCACAGAAGTGTAGTTAGCAGCTGAGATGAAGGTACTAACACTAGTGGAAGAACTACAGTTAGAAAAGGATATGAGGAACTCCACCTCCGTGTTTGCATGTGGTCTGGCAGATAAGCTCAAAACTCAGGATACTCACCTGGAACCCCCAGCTTGTTGCTTTGTATGGTTAGGCGGGATAGAGCTGTGTTGGCCAAAAATGCAAGCTGTTCTTCCTAAACCGGACTGGAACGTTACAACTTGTTGTCCTTAGGAACCAATTACTGAGTGAGATGAAGCCATACCTCAAGAGGAGGAGGCTAATTATCCTTCCCTTTTGAGAGCAGCACCCCTCACGCAGTGGAAAACAAAAGCCTAACCTGCCTAACCTGCAGGCAGTGATGGACAGCCTTTAAACAGGAACGTTTGAATGTCCAAAATTACACCTTGGCAGAATTGTTGAACTTAGCAAAATCTTTTCAAACACTAGCCAAGAGAAAGCTGAGCTACATGGATGATGCAGGTGAGACACCCTAGTGTGGAAGGTATTTCCTTAGCAGAAAGTGAAGCTGATAAAATGAGCTCAATCCCCTTTAAGACAGCGTTGCATAGTGCCGCAACTCCTGAGGTCAAGTATAGTCTTACAGATCAGATTATCCTGGCTATGACAGAGGCTTGGCCAAATGAAGGGGACTGTCCAGGTCAGACGCTGGCAAGGTGGATGCAGGAGGAAACCAGGACCAGTTTAAAGGAGTTGGGCACACTCAGGCCAGCTATGCCCCGTCATTCACAGGACCAGATAAGGTTGTGTTTACCATAGGAAAAAAGTTGTTGCAAGCTGTCCTGTCTCCACCAACCATAGAATTGGTATGGTTCTTTCATATGCCTCTTAAGCCCTCTTGTGGGACAAGATATATATTACATTAGAAAGCTATAGCTAATCTTGGAGAAAATAAAAAGGAAAGAGATAAGGTCTGTCTGGTTACTAAAAAAAGATGGGAGTGGAGAAGGAGAAGCCAAGTCTGCCAGACTAAACACAGGAGAAATGAACAGCCTAGTTAGGATTACCAGGAAACAGATATGGCATGATCCCATCTCAGCTGGAGAAGACAAAGAAAAAATCAATAAGAAACACAATACCATATTAGTGGGCCTTTAGGAAAACCTGGCACCCGATCAACATGTTGCACTCCTTCCTAGAGCTCCACCATAACAGGGAGAAAAAGAAGGAGCTTCAAATAAAACAACTCCAGTCTCTCCGCATTTCAGGGGTGACTACTCTCCAGTCTAAAGACTGTTGCCTCCACCTGCCAGCGATAGGAGGCAAACAGAGGCCCCATGTGGATCTCACACAGTATTAGAGTCCAAAAAAGAAGCAGAAAGCCTTAGCTTTAGTGGACATAGGCGAAATATGCACCGTAAGTCATGGAAACCCAGAGAGACACCCGGGTAAGTGAGCAGCTGTGGATGTTTATCGGGGGCGAGCAATCCGAGTGAAACAGATTCCCTTCCTCCTTTTATTGGGCAGAGAACCCCAGATATTATGTGTTTTTATCTCATTTATTCCAGAAAACGTCTTCAGTATGAATGTCCATTTTAAATGCACTTTACAAATGTCTGTGAGGGAATTAACCCATGAGTTTAGGTGGTAAAAGCTATTTTAAAAGGAGCAGCAAAATGGAAACTGGTAAACCTTCCTCCTCCACTGTGTATGATTCATGTGAATCAATATCCACTTCTGGGTGGGATAAAAAAAAGACAGGCATCATGCAGGAGCTGACCAAAGTTAATATTATGTGGCCATTCCGGAGTCCCTTCTAGAGTCCTGTACAGCCAGTAAGAATACCTGATGGCACTAAGAACATGAGAGTAGACCACCAGGAACTAAATAAGATGGTCCCAGAGACAGGCATCACTACTATGCCTAATATAATCTAAGTGATGGAGCAAATAATAAAAATGTAGCGCTTTGCACCCTGACTTACAGAACCCATATGCTTTTTCTTGGAATAGCAAACAGTGGACGTTCCAAGTGCTGCCCGAGCATTATTACCACAGCCCAACTGTTTGTCATGGAAAACAGAGATCATGAAAAACATGATCGCTAGAGATTTAACTTTGTGTTCACTGCCACCTGCTGTTAAACAGGTTCATTCTAACAATGATATTATGCCAACTTCTGAAGATTCAGTATTGCTATGGCAGCACCTGCTGTTAAACAGGTTCATTCTAACAATGATATTTTGCCAACTTCTGAAGACTCACTATTGCTACAGCAGCACCTCCATGCATTGTGTGCTCTTCTCCCATCCAGAGGATGGGCCATCAACTCACAAAAGATACAAGGACCAAGATTGGCTGCGAAGTTCCTAGCAGTCACTTGGTTGGGTAAGACATGCCTTATCCAGGCACAGTCATTGACAAAATACACTTTTCCATGTCTAAAGCAATTAAACAGTAACAAAGTTTCCTAGGCCTTTTGGAATATCAGTAGGCTTTCATTCCACTTTTAGCTCAATGTTTTCATGCCCTCTACTGACTAGTGAAGAAGGGATCTAGTTGTTGCTGGGATAAAGAACAAGAAGACACATTGGCGAAGGCTAAAATATTAGTGGCTCAGGCACAAGCCTTTGGTCTTCCCTTCCCAAGGTGCCAATGTCTTCATATGCAAACACAAGCCCTGAGGGGATCAGTGGGGTAGAAGAGTTGTTTCCTAGGCCTGTATCAGCTATTGCCCAAGCCTCCACTTTACAAAAGGGGCATGATATATCCCTGCAACAATATACTGCCTTCTCCATGAGTTCCATGGGAATGAACTGCACACTCTCTTAGAGCCAGTGCTATCTGTGGAACCAGCGCTGCCCTTAAGGTGGATCCCCAACAAGAGATGCTTCCAATAGTGCACAAAGGCACAGTCTCCATTCCTAAAAATGCTTGGTGTTCCAATGGAAAAGAACTAACCCTTGTATATGGATAGCAGTAGCTGTACCACCATGGGCAGATACTATCTGGTTTGAGTTAGGAATGCAGCCAAGCAGTCAATGGTAAGAACTCTAAGGTGCATGGTTGGTTTCCACCCATGAGCTATGGCCTATATTTCTATGTACAGATAATTGGGAAGTTTTTAAAGGTCTTACAGTTGGCTTGCCTAATGGGCCCCAGATGACTGATATGTGCTTTGAAACTCTTATGGGGAGCTGCTATGTAGAAAGGCTGCAAGAACTCATTGCAAGTTTAACTGTGTATCATGTTTCCACAACAGTCAGATTCACTTCCTGGAAACATGGCAGCTGATACTCTAGCAAAAATTAGAACTTTAGCTCCCTTGTAATTATCTGAACTAGCTGACTGGCACATAAGCACAGTGGGCATCACAGTGCAGAAGTGTGCTGGCAAATAGGAAAGTGAACAAGACTGCCCCTCTACTACACAGATTTAGTGGTGGCAGTTACCAACTGCCCCTGCCATATCCCACAAACACCTGGACAGAAATGAGGTGAATATACAAACACACACATAGGACAGCTGCTCTTCTAAGAGACTGGCAGATAGACTACATCGGAACCCTGCCAGGGATCTTGGAACAAAAGCATGCACTAACGTGTAGATACTGCCAAGAGATTGTTGCAGGCCTTCCCTAGAAAAACGGCAAACCAAACAGCCATCATTAAGGGCTTGGAAAAATTCAGTGTCATGTATGGATACCCTCCGTGCATTGATAACAACGGAGGCCTGCATTTTACTGGATATGATGGCCAAGATTGGATGCATGAAAAAGATATAGACTGGAGATATCACATGCTATATAATCCCTAAGTAGCAGGGTTGATTGAAAGGGAAAATGGCTGCTGGGCACGGTGGCTCATGCCGGTAATCCCAACACTTTGGGAGGCCAAGGCGGGTGTACCACAAATTCAAGAGATCAAGATCATCCTGGCCAGCATGGTGAAATTCTGTCTCTACTAAAAAAAAAAAAAAAAAAAAAAAAAAAAAACAACTACAAAAATTAGCCAGGAGTGGTGGCACATGCCTGTGGTCCCAGCTATTTGGAAGGCTGAGGCAGAAGAATTGCTTGAACCTGGGAGGCGGAGGTTGCAGTGAGCTGAGATCGGGCCACTGCACTCCAGCCTGGGCAACAGAGCGAGACACAGTCTCAACAATAAATAAATAAAGAAAAAGAGAAAAAGAAAGGGAAAATGGCATTTTGAAGGAAGGTACAACCGCAAGAACTCTCACATTGTAATACCTTGCAATTTCCAGGGAGTTGATTCAATGATTGCATAAGAAAATGAAACTAATAAGGAAGTAAAATATTCAATTATTTGGTTATTGTAACATGTAATAGTTAAGATGAACGTAAAAAAGAGTGCTAGGTTGGAACTTAAGGCTGGAGCAAGTTTTGATGTGGGCCTGTCTGAGCCGTACTACTAAACTCAAAGTACCCACGAAAGGGAAGACTATTCCAAGACAAAACAAAGTACCTCAGACCAGTGGTTACCAAAAAGGTAGTCAATATGGGAGAAGGAATAACCTTCTATTGAAACTATTGAATCAAGAGGACATAGTGTGAAAGAATTGTTTCATGTTGCAGATTGCCATTATCAGCTTTTTGAGAAAACTTAAATAAATGGATTCTGAGAATAACCAATTTAGTAGCAATATCTTTGGTTTCAAATGCTGCAGAGTGAAATACTATGTTTGGGTTGATGCAGGATGCACAACTCACTATTGAACAATTATAAATAGGGGTAAATGATCCAGACACACAAGAGGACTTTCCCGAGGGAACTGCCAGCCAGGTGGACTGGATGAAAGCCATTGTAAGCTCTGTGTATCCTGAGGAAAGGAACTGTCCAGCTCTCCTTATAAATGCCAAGTAAAGCACCTCAGATGAAGCAGCTTATATGCTTCCTATGAAA